CTCAGGGTGCTGCTCCAGCTGTAGTGGCCGTCCTTCTCCAGCACCCCAGGGCTCCTGCTCTCCTCCCAGCTGACGCTGCTGCTGCCGTCCACCTTCCAGGACAGACTCCAGTCTGAGGGGAAGCCCTTGTTGGCCAGGCACATGAGCGTGGCCTTCCCCTGCTGCAGCTCCTCACTGGAGGGGGGCAGCACCGTCAGGGTGGGACGGACATCACCTAGGAGACACCAATCAGCTTAGAGGACAGGGAGCACGCAGCTGTCAATCAAACACCACACACGTGGACACCTTGACTGTGAGACAGTTGATTTAGTCCCTGAAGGAGCTTCTGTCAGATGTTGTTTCTGCTCCAGCAGTCACTCACTCACACATTGTTTCAGTTCCCTTTAAGAAAGCTCTCATGTAGATCAGCTCAGAGAGAATCATCTCACAGTTTCACCTGAAATATGTCAAACTGCTGTGGAATTAAAAGAAGTAGATGTAGAAATATTTACAACAACAGTTTTAATTAAAATCATCAAAAGTCTTAAATAAACAGAACTTTCAAATATTTAGCAGAAACAAGTAAAGAAAAGCAACTAACAGCCATAAAATGTTCTGCATTCTGATCATCATTTAACATGAATTCAAACTGAATTGTAAACTGTTCAGTTTAACTTGAAAACATTAAATTGTATACCATCATTGTCATTGCAGGAAAAATGTTTTGTATTTTGTAGATTTCAAATTTGAGTATCAATTTAAATGTGGACATGAAGTTTAGAAAAGCTGATCTGAGTTAACCTCCATGAGGATAAATAAAACATTCCAACGAAATTTGTGGTATATTTTTTTTTAAAATGACATTTTTCTCCGTATGAAACCATCAAAATGGTTCCGAAACAAATTATTTACGACAACATATTTAGTATTAAATACAATATGAACTTACTTCCAACATGCAGTCTGGTTCCTCCACCAAAAGTCCACCACAGTGATACAAACTGATTGAGGCGTCGTACAAAAACCTCTGACTGTAGAGAGACACGGCTCTCTGACTCTGAAACAAACACACTCAACTAAATGATTTGCTGTTTGTATCATTTTGTCAACTCATGTT